TTTTTTTTTTTTTAGCTTTGTCTCATGGTGTTCATCTTACTATGCAAACTCAATCTGCTGATAAGAACTGAGATGCGGTTGGCAGCTATTTAGTTGGTGCAGCTTTAAACCTAAAACATATTTTGCCATTTGCAACAGAAGTCAAATTAATTTCAATAAATTGACATGGAAATCAAATATCTCACTGTAACAGGAGAAACAGACCCTTTGAAATACGTTGTTGCATGTTGTATTGCAAATGTTCCCATAAAAATACAGTAAACTACTGGCAGCGGAGGTCTCCAGCATCCTGCTGTTTTACAGTGAAACTACCACCATGTAATTCAACAGTACATTACTACCATTTTCTACAGTAGAAAGTTAGGTTTACAGTGTAATATTTTAGCTACTGTAAACTGCCAGTAATATACTGTTTCTACATTGTTGCTATTGTAATCTACGCAAACCGTTTCTAACTGTATATGTTACAGTACACCGCTGACAAGTTTTCTTCATATTTATATTGAGACAAACTACTGAAAATATGTGTGTTTCAGTATTAAATTATCAGCATATTTAAAAATGCATACACCATCAAAAACCTAGCACAAATGAGGAGGACACAAGTGATCAAGTGAAGTGTTTTATGGATCAGAACATTTTAAAAGGCTGTATCGTATATAATACAATGCAAAATGTATAACTTCAAATCTACCCAATAATAAAAGTGGATACCCTTTCTCGGGGCATCAATTTAAATTTAAGACATCTGCAAATATTTTGTTAAAAGAAAGAAAATAACCATAAACACTATAGACAAAGATCAGGGAACGCATGGAAGTATTGGCATTTCAGTGAATGACTAGAAATATTTGTGAAAGAAGCATTTGAATTACAGTTAATTTCCAAAGTTAAATACTTAGAATATGAATATGTTGGAATCCCAATACTGCTGAATAAATTCCAGTGTCCAGTCGCTTGATCTTGACATTGTTGGTTGAAGATATAAGGCAGAAGGCAGCAAGCCTGTGATAGAGGTCAGCTGGACTCCCTCACAGGTGATTCAGCCTTCAGTGCTGAAACATCCATCCATGGCTCGGTCTGTCCAAACTGATGCAGACAAGGAGAATTGTTTAAGTGACCGAAATATTGGGTGTTGTTTGTATATAGCATGTTTAACACAAATAACTCCAGTATACATCAGTAAATTCTCCAATAATCTAATAAAATCACATTTAAGCCAATGTTCTGTAAATTACCCCATACGAGTTCATTAACACTATAATTGCTTCCCCTCCATTGCTCGATTATACAGTATTAAACGAGGACTCGCTGGTAAAGCCTCTGCTGAGGTGGTAGACCCTTGTTAAGCACAATGCTCATAGAAAACTTCGTGCTGCATTTACATTTGACTTAATTTACATTTAGAAGATGTTGCTGACATTAGAATAAAATAAAAAAAACTTTCAGCAAATTCAGATTCACTTACTGAAATGGGGTTTTACTCACAAGCAAGGCTGAAACAAGTACAACACCACAGGTTAAATAGCCAAAATAAAAATTGAATGTGTCTCCTCTACTGCAGCAAAGTACATGTTAGTTGATATTATTAGCAAGTAGCATTAGCTTTAACTTACTGAATCTCCTCAAGAAAAAGCAGTACAAACATGTTCAAAATATTCAAACATCTGATGAAGACAAACTTCCTCTAAAAATGTTCTCTTGTGCCAGATGCTTGCTTATACTAACTTAAGGTTTAAGGTAAGCAAGAATTTAGCACTTTTGGGTCACCAAATGGCCAAATATAATTGTATCCTCTCAACATGATATTACTCATCTGTTTGTTTGATAGGTGCATGCATGAACAATGATTAAATGATGAAGATGGTTGCATGGCTTCTTTCCCTCTATTACTTCTAAAACAAAAATACTGCATGATACCTTCAAATCAGTAGCATACTGATGATGTTCAGGATTGATTTTGGCACCAAAATTAAAATCTACTGTGTCCTCCTGCATTTAACAGTAAAATACTGGAATATACAGAAATTCTTATTTCATCCTCGTTATTTACAAGAAAACAGAAGTGACAATTTGCAGCTAAAACACACCGCGCCTCAAACAATTTCAACATGGAATTGTTTTTTAATTATATTTAATATATATATTATACAGAATATTTTATATTTAATTTCTTTCAGCATTTCATCCATCCATTTTCAACCATCTCATGGGAATCACAAGAAATATATCATTCTTTACGCCCATGCAAAATGTATAATCTACATTTTAGATTTAAGCTATGGCTTAAATCTAAAATGGGGGGGGGGTACAAAGCAGACAAGTAAAAACAACACTGCACAATAAGGTGCTAAAAGGACGTCCTAATACGATAAATTATCATTTTAATACATTTTAAGATATAAAATCGAGTCGGATTTGATCACACACAACAATAGGAAGTCCATTCAGATTTGGCTGTCTCAATGCTGTAATCAAACTCCAGCCAGCAGTCTACAGACGCTTCAGTATGATGCGGATAATGTTGGCATAGATTTTGGCTTGGGATGCCAGACACCCTTTCTTTCAGCTACAGTCCCACTATGAAGTCTGGTAAACCGGAAGTCTGGAAGTCTCCATGTAGCCGCGGTGTTGCACCATCGCCCTCAGCAAGGCAGAGAGTCCGGCTACGCTTTTGGTTTCACGCATCAATAAACAAGCGCATCCATGTCTGATCTGCCGTGGCTCGTGTCAGTCTCATGCCGTTTATACCACCAAATTCTCACTTATCAGAATTATTTTCTGAAACTCACAGGTAAAGATTCTAGATATTTTCTGGGAAGACATAAAATACATTTGAACTTTTTGCTCCAGAATATACTCTTGCCCCAAACTGTTAGTTATGTTGTTCCTTGTAATGATAATCCTTAGGCCATATAGGCCTATTAATACATTTAGCTGTTTTTTCTTTTATTCAATGTAAATCTGACAAATCGTCAGGTATTGAATTCAATAGCCAAGAAGTAAACAAATAAGCTAATCATATCCCTCTCCCATACACTTGCTGTAAAAGTCCACTGTTCTGTACGTCCTTCAACAAAGGATCACTGTGCTCTCAGCTTGCACAGATGGATACGCACGCTGGAACAAGGACAAAAAGGGTCCCAACCAAAGCCTCTCATGCACTTTTTTGGGGGTTTTATCTCTAAGGGTCCGTTCCCAGACTGGACTTGATGGCAGTTATTTGGGGCCCCATGGGGCAGGACGCGTGCGAAACCGCGCATCTATAATGCTTGGAAAAATAATGAGAGGGTTGAATCTCCTCAAGCTACAGCAGGACAGCTTGCAACCGAGGAGCAACGTTGTGTTTACCAAAATGATAAGAACGTGTTGAACTACATATCTGTTTCCTCATGTAAATACATCAACTGAAATGTAATTGATCTTTCAGTGTGTTCAGCATGTTCCCGCTCTTTATATCCCCTTAAGCCTTGAGGTTGGAAGCGTTTCAGTAAGCCTTTTGTGCGTAAACAGTTTGCTATATCTAAAAGATGGAGTTTCATTTGGTGTCTTTTACGGGGAATGTATCGTATTATATGGACTTCCGTTTAGCATATTGTTGGGCAGTGATGTTTTTACTTGGTCTGCTTTGTATTAACGTATATAGGCCATCACTGTGCCATTGTGTCTATGCGCTGAGACCCAAAACCTCCCCCCTCCAAAAAAGACGAAAAACGTATTTGAAGCACATTGATGATGAGCCGGGATGCTGATGGGAGCAGCGGCAAAGCGGTGAAGCAGTGGGAAACAGAGGAGGGGGTGTGTCTGGTGTGTAGAGACGGAACATGAGAAGAAGGGGGGGGGGTTGAGGGGGCTCCCATCTGTTGCGCGCTTGTGGCGCGTGCCGAGAGCGTGAATCCTAGGCAGCTCACTACTGCGCTGTTTGATGGTCTGCAGCAGAGATTGACTGAAAGTCTTCGAGGATGTCAAAATAAAATCGTTTTATTTTAACTTTTGAATATCTATGTTGTGTTTAATATTGTAGTTTTTAAGGGATTATCACTTCAAAAGAGGTCCAGTTTTGTACTGAATCAGATGCCTATTCTATTCCTCACCGTGTTGTGTGCTGCATGACTGTGTGTGTGTGTGTGTGCGTGTGTGTGCGTGTATACATACTACGTTCATACTCCGCAGATGCGCGCACCTCGCTGCGTGTGTTGCAGGTTGGCACGTCACTCCCGTCTCCTCCCCCACTGCTCCAGGTAAACATCGTGTTGTTGATATTGGAAACAAGCTGCCGAGGGTGCACAAGCAGATGTTAATTCATACATAGCGTCGCTTGGGTATCTGGTTTATTTATTGGAGGAATAGATTAGTCCTGTCATCTCAGAATCACTCATCGGGTTCAGGTTCTTTTGTTGTGGCGGATTGACAAATCGAGACCATTAGCATAAATAAACTGATTGAATGCACGTATTGATAATGTGGCTCTAACTTTTTAAATTGTTTATCCATAACAGTGCAACTCAGGCATATCTCATTAAAATTTTTGTTTTAGAGATGTGGACGCTCATTTGTGGAAATGATCAATGCAAAACAATAATAATAATAATAAACTGGGTAATAAACAGAAAGAGTGTCAATTTAACAACAAAGCCATGCAGGCGAATAAAGAAGCAATCCTGATGAATATTACAAAAGAGGAGCTGATATAATCTGTCAGAAACACAGCGTTGTTGTAAGGCTTGTGTGCGGGGTGGATATTGGATGAACGTTAAAGCTTTACATTTCAAACGCAATAAAGTGCAACATCATCACGAAGCTCCGCATACCAGCGGTGTAGACGCAGGGTCCCAAAGGGACCAGATGGTCCAGACGGGAGCTCCGCTCATCTCCCAAAGGCATCGCCCCTCCTTGTGTCAAACGCCCAGCACAATGGCTTGTGTTCCCGCCCCCCTGACGCGCCGGACCCACATAAATAGGAGGCTCTCCAGCTCTGCAGCACACTTCAGCGCAGCCGCTCCAAGAGCAAGTATCTCCCCTCAAAAAAGCACAACAACAAGCAGCAAACAAAATGAGTCCCAGCATTACTACCGAGGCCGGCCAGCCTCTCCCTGCCAGGTCCACCGTGGCCCAGAGAAAACAAGCCAACGAACTGAGAAAGGTAAGAGAAAGAGAGACACTGTGCTTATATGTTACTGGAAATGTTTTCTCATTTGAACCTTTTTAAAAGTGCAGCTGAATAACGTGTTTTCATTATTTCTTCTAGACTCTTAAACCCTTGCTGGAGAAGAGAAGGCGTGCTCGTATCAACGACAGTCTCAGTCATTTGAAAAGCCTGATTCTTCCTCTGGTTGGCAAAGACAACGCACGCTACTCCAAGCTGGAGAAAGCTGATATTCTGGAAATGACAGTCCGCTTCCTCAGAGACCTTCCTTCCTCTCCCGTCAAAGGTACGCCTCATTTCTTGAACTAACGCATCGCGGAAACCATCTTATCTGAGATTGTGGTCTTCACATTAAATTCAAGTCACTAATTAAATCTCTTTCCCCTCCAGATTCCGCAGACAGTTACAAGGAAGGCTTCAAAGCCTGCCTCCAGCGCGTCTCCACCATGCTTCCCAAAACGAGTCTGGATCAAGACGCGTGTCAGCGGGTGAACGAATTCGTCCAGCAGTCCATGTCCACCGCCGTCACCCCGACCTGCCTGAACTGTTGCGCTCAGAGCTCCAGGACTCTCCCTCAGATCCAACAGAGACTCTTGAGCCTCAAATCCAGCTTCAGCTCCAGAATGGAGAGCCAGTCCCGCAGCAGCAGCGGCGGCGGCGGCGCAGTGGCTCCCAGCCGAGCGCAGTCAGCACCACAGGCGGTCAACGCTGCCATGTGGAGACCTTGGTAGATTAGATGGACATTCATTCACCTCATGCGTGTTATGTATTTTGTGATGTTATTGATGCCATTTGTATCTATATGCCTTAGCGATCTTGAATTGTTGGAGTCGCTGTACAATAATTTCATTCAGCATTTAGCTCATTTCGCGTTTAATGCCAGATCTTAGAGACTGAAGTCTTTGAGCTTTTTAAAATGCAATCCTCTTTGGGGTTTCAAAGATATGGTTGTAGACAACACTTTTGTAAAACCCCAAGGGTTAATTTGTTTGAGGTTTGCACTATGTACTTAAAAGTATTTTGGTCTGTGCAAAAAAATAGTCTGTAAACACTATGTGTTAAATAGAATTATGTTATTCATTGACCTTATGTGTATATAAAAAAAACAAACATGTTTTGTGATTCTTCAAATGTTTTGTCACCAACAAAAGCTTTTCAATAAATGTACATTTCTCGAATATTGCTGTTGTTTGATCTTTGGTTTTGGTGTGTTCAAACGATCTCCAATTCATCATGAAACCGTCTTATTAAGAGGAATCTCAGTAATATGAAAGGGATGAAAAAGGCGCAGGAACGCATAAAGCCAGAGGTCAGCCTGAGCCTTTTGATGCTGATGAGCAGCTGCTCTATTGTTGCAGATGTGAGGCGCCTATAGTTGCCGCCAAATTGGTGGGAAGAAGTTGGACTGGTTGTGCGATGGGACACACACTGAGATGACTGCAGTTGGGAATTTCAATCGCACATTTGACGTCACCTAAAACACATTTGTTTCTCAGTAATTTTACATAACATTTCCTAAATCATCCTATCCCTGTGATTATGGCTTATAAATGTGTGGGCAAAGTTATGATCAGACTATTTCACATCTCAGTATAATAACCCTTTAAAGTCGTTTATCATAGGCTTATCCAGAATTGACCACTTTTTACTAAATTATATTGCAAATTAGTACTTCTATCTACCATGTATTTATTCTTTATACTACATGATCGTACAGTCTTTAGATGTTTACTATTGCAGTTTCTTTTGCATAAACCACTTTAAAAAATGTCATCAGGGCCACAGTTCATAGTCTAGTAGAAAAAAGTCGTGTCCATGAAGCAAAAATGAGCTGAAGACCAACTATTCTCCAGCTAATAAATGTATCAAAATAATACAACTTTTAACATTTTGTTGCACATGGGCAGAATTATACTGACCATTTCTAATAATTGACTTTCTTTTACTAAACTTGGCCTATAATGCATTATGTTGGCATACATTTACTTTTGGCATCTCATAACGTGTTGATATTTCTGTTCACTGTGAGACAACAGTGTTGCAGGAGAGGAATAACAACATGGATGTCACAATCAGGCTTTGCCTTGGGTGTTTTGTGTGTGGTTCTCTGTAGCTCCTCACTTCCTTCACCTGTCCCTAATCAGTTCATTCAGTGCACCTGCCAGTCACACTCTCCCTCATCAGCACAACTCTCCTCACCTGTTCTAGTCACTATTTAAACCCCTGTCTTTCACTCACTCACAGCCAGATTGTTGTTTTGTTTCCTACCCGCCTGGTTTGCTCTTCCTGTTCCCCCAGTCTGTCTGCCCTGTTTTTGCCTTGCCTTGCCCTGCCGGATTTCCCCCCTTGTCTCGTCCTTGGATTACCTGTTTTTGTTTCGTGAGTTATTAAAACCCTTTCTTTCTCTACTCTGACTGTCTGCATTTGAGTCCTCATTATGTCCCGTGACAATGGAGTTAGATTTTTTTTACTTTTTTGCCTGCGTTAGCCATTATTCACTGTAATATGGTATTAAAATCATCATTAACCCACATCCACATTTTGTATCTTTATTCAACATGACATTAGCTCTGTGTCTTTTAAAAAAACACTGATTGGTGCATTCAAAGACGGCCCAACATCCTAGATTTGACCAATATATATATTTTAATGTAACAAAGAAATGAACATGATCCTTTTCACAACATTCATGATGTAATTGTTTATATACTGTCTTTAGTCAGATGAGTCATAAATCTTGGAGAATTGCTGAATGGACGAACAACAGTTAGGAAATATTATCTAGTGGATTAAGCCCTTTCTCAAACACATTTCATGTCTGTCCAGGTTTACTGTCGGACTGAACTGGGATGAACTGACGAAACCACTGGCTTATGAGGTAAGGAATATACTGTATGAAAACTTATATTCTGTTCAAAAAAGGTCACTGATAATACAAACATGCAACTAAACCACAGTCCTTTAAAGCACAAGTTTAGGTTCAAGTCTCTTAAAACAATACTCACACGCCCAAATGTGCATTGAAATACATGAGTCACGTTATTATTCCTGCTGTCCATAGTGACTGTGAAGAGATCTATTCTTAGTGCATCTTCAATGGAAGTGATGGAGGACAAAATCCACTGTCTCATGTCAGCATCCTGAGATATCAAGTATCTCCTAAAGTTAGTCTTTTATGTATAAGACTCCCTCTTTGTGATTCCAGACAGCGTTTATTTGCTGAGCTGCAGTGGAGGGATGGTAAAACAAAGAGGCCTATGTCCTACAACTCTTACGTTAAAGTTAAGCCAAGAAGGAACCTCTCAACTGGCATGGCCAGGAGGAATGATCAGAGTGACCAATAATTCAATGTGAACATATTTTAAATTTTTTTCGTTGTTCCTGTGGTGCTTAAATGCACTTATTTTGAGTCATTCTGGACAAAAGTGTCAGTGTCAGTTGTATACAGTGTGCTCAAATGTATTTACAAATTGACAGGGTTTGTATTCAGACCCTTGATTCAGTATTTTATATCAGCCCCTTTAGTAGCAATTGCAGCTTTGAGTCTCTGCACACCTTGATTTGGGAAGTTTATTCCATCCTGTCAAGCTCAGATTGGATGGGGAAAGTCCTTTAAATGCCATTTGGCAAACTCCAAGCCGGCTGTCATATGCCTTTTATTCAAGAGTGCACTCAATCGAGCCACTAGACCATAAAGGCCTGATTGAAGGAGTACGGCTGAGACGGGTCTTCCATCTCTACAGAGGACTTCCGAAGCTCTCTTAGAGAGATCGTTGGGTTTTTGGTCCCTTATCATGACTCTTATTGCCCGGTTACTCAGTTTGGCTGGATGGTCAACTCAAGGAAGAGTCCTGGGGATTCCAAACTTCTTCCGTTTCACAATTGTTGAGGTAGCTGTGTTCCTGGGAACACTCAAAGCTTTAGAAATGGTTTCATACCCTTGGCCTGATCAATGCCTCACCATACTTTTGTCATGGAGGTCATCGGAGAGTTCCTTAGACTTCATGGCTTGGTTTGTGTCCTTAAATGCAGAATGAATTGTGAGACCTTATATACAGGGCTTTCTAAACTATCTCCAGCATTTCAGTTTGCCATATGGACTCCAATTAAGTTTAATCACAGATCATTAAAGCAAACGGGATGCACCTGACCACAGTTTTGTGGTGCCACACCAAAGGGTCTAAATATTTTCAGATTTCACCTTTTAATTTTGAATAACTTTGCAAAAAAATCTAAAGACATGCTTTCACTTTGTATACGTTATTTAGTGTAGATTGTTGGGCAAAAACGGCTACATTTACACAATAAAACATCAAGTCTTCCAAAAGCAAAAGGGGTCTGAATACTTTATGAAGCCACTGTATGTTTTATTTAACGAGAAAATATGAACTAATCCTCAACATAGAACATAAAACACAGAGGTTGCAAAATGTGTAACAGAGACTTAAAATAAATCAGATGAAGTATGAAGATAATAATCATGGATCACAAAACACATCGGAAAAAAGGTAAAGTAACGTTGATACAATAATAGCAATACATATAACAAGTCATATTTGAACAGATATACACTAAATAAAAAATCTTTAAAACAGATGGCACTGATGATCACAATATGATCACATAATAAGATAATGACAGCTGGATCGCTTTCTGTCAATTTAAAAAATATTGGATTTCAAAGCCATGTCTGACTGAGGCATGTATGGAGCAGCAGAACTGAATGCTCTTTCTGTTGCTCAGTACTCACTTTAGGAACAGAAAGAAGTTCCTGGAGTGTCAACAGCATTAGTTACCAGCCTTATTTTGAGCAACAAAATTGCAAAGATGTTTAGATCAGTGTGCATCAGTGGGTGTGAAGCCAGTTAGGACCAGCCAACCCTCATACAAACACAAGTATGGTTCAGGCTGAACCTCAGAGTGTGTGTTTGTAAAAGGCATCTCCACAATACAGAACAGACAAAGAAAAGGTTTATTCTCTGCCTTCAAAATAAAAGCAGGACTAAAAGAAAGCAAACTCTCAACTTAATTACTTCTTTTTTTTTTTTACCAGATGTGTAATAAGTAATGTGATGTTTTTGCCATCATTTCCATATAACTGAAAGCACAAATGTACAAAATGGTTTAAAAAAAATTGCTTCACATTCATATAATATACATTATTAGGGAACTAATATGTTTTACAAGGTCTAGCCATTAACTATGAAATACATTTTGTAAAGGGGACATAAATAGTCCCTTAACACGGTAACCTCTAAAAGCTGAGATCCACTTTGTTCAGTTTTTCTTGTCCAAGCTGAGGTCACAGTGGGGGATGGGTCAGTGTGAGCTCTCTGCTATACAATCTCTCTCTATAACCATGCTGTCGTTACCATACATATTGTAGAGAGAAAATGACACTGGATATAAGGAAACATTGTCATTTCATTTATTCCAGGATTTTGCATGCATTGTCCAATATAGATGTTCTTGGCTGGCAACCTGTCTGGTGATGGGGTTCATTTTACACAGTAAAACTGAGTGAACCGAACTTTACACAAGTTCAGTCTACTCAGAGCAAAGATCACCACAACAGCCGTCTATGGTCTTCTGTGACTGAGGGGGGCGCTTTCTGACATTTGAAGAAATCCCCCCAATGCTGTCTTTAGACTTAAAGCATTTAAGATACTTCCAAACTGGATTTAAAAGAAGCTTGCATTTAAGAGGCGGTCTAATGAAAGCTGAGTTGCATTATGGAAATTGTAGGTTTTTGGAGTTTGCTTCAGACACGATATCTTGGCCACTGCTGCTTCGATTTCCATTTTTAATGTCTCTTTAATGTCTCCTAACTTTTTTTATAGAAGTGCAATGCTAAATTGTTGGGCAAGTCCTTCAGATTTGAATGAGTATTTGGCATTTGTTTTGGCATCACATTATATCGTTTGATTCTAATCAGTAATGGCTTGCAGGTTGGATACCACAGCTGGTAAAGAGCAAGGTGCATGAGAAAATGTATTCTCATTTGAATGGATAAAAAGTCCACGTTGCTCTGTTGAACAAGTCAAAAGAACCCATTTGCATAGATGCCGTTTATGTTCTTTTACTCCATTTAAAACCTTATTTGTTTAAAAAGAGCGGATGAGTGACGACCAAGCTTGATGCTCTGCACCGCACAGACCGACACATGCAAATCAGTCTGTTTACAAAAAACTCCTCTGACATCGATTGGGGGCTTTGTTCAATGGATGTCGCTTCGTTCAAACTCATTTCTTTTCAGGTTTCTGGTCAATTTTAATTTTGGTTTCATTTAAATTTTCGCAGAACAAAGTAAGCCTCACAAAAACAGTAAAACAACTGATTTGAGCCGAACAAATGCTTGCAATATCAGAGAGGCACACAATCTTTATCATAATCAAAGACAGAATCCGAGTATGATAACTTTGACTAAAACCAGTCAGTGAAATAAAGAGAAGACCACTGCAGGTTATTCCACTGAAATACTGATCACATTAACGTTTTGTTTTGCTCTAATTGTACAACTTAATTTGACCTATTTTACTGCCACAAGAAACATGCGGGGCAGAGTGATGTGTACTGACACCCTGACCAAGATGGCTGTCATTGCATATCGACAATAAGACGTTTGTTATAGCTGGATATGGTGTTCCCATTGTTTGAGACTCAAGACAAACACCGAAGCCTCTCCGCTCACATCACGCTGAAGCAAAAGTCAGGTGGAGTCCGCCTCGCTGTTTCTCCCCCATTCCACGCATGTGACTCTTAATTCGCATGAAGTTTCGGAACATTTTCAGACAAAGGCTTCCTGTCATCCGGCCTGCACAGATGGGTTACTGACGCCGAATATGCTTGAAAAAGACAAAAGAGGACTCTAACCGTACGAGCAAAAACGGAGAAGTGTACCTCCCCCCCAACCCCCACCATTCCCATCATCCCTCCATCCCAGCAGCGCGGTGAGGGGCGCGTGCAGCAAGTGTGCCTTTCAGTTTCAGGGGCATCGCTTGGCTTTGTTGAAACAGGACAACAATATCATATAAATGTATATATATTATTTTATTATATATATTTATATGTATAATAAAAGCATCTTGCTGTTTAAGATTGTCAGTGTGAGCTTTCCAGTGTGTATTTAACGTAATACTCTTACAAATAAACCTTACAGACCAGCATCTTTATCTCCACCAACAGCTTTAAGCATCGTGTTTCGTCATCACCACACTATATTGATAAACAAGCATTTCGTGATAGCTTGGACGCTAAAACATCCAGGAGTCAAGCTGAAGGAGACAATCGCAACAGAGTTTTCAAACAGGGGGGGTGAGAATGGCTTGTTTCAGTTGGACAACAACATGGACCCATAAGAAGCATGCAGATGGGGCACCCACGCTAAAACTGCGTGGAGATCATGTGTCGTGCGTGTAAAGTATATAGAAAAAGAGCTTAATGTAATGCAGACTGTGTGTGTGTGTGTGTGTGTGTGTGTGTGTGTGTGTGTGCGTGCGCATAGATAATATATGGATAGATCCACGGTGGGACAGGGAGATTGGCTGTTCAGGATGCTGGTGTAGTGCAGGTGGAGTATATGGGGCGTGGGGTCGATAGTTGGAGATTGGGGGTGGGGTTGAAGGCTCGGTAACAGACAGCCATCTGGTCTCCATGGCGCGTGCTGCGCGCGTGGTTCCCTTGAGTGCAGTGGTATTTGATGGGTTGTCACGTCTCCAGTTTTTATTTTAAAAACCTGAAATCTCAAAGCTATAATTCAAAGTTTGATTCATGCCTCACATGACATGATGGTTGGTTAGTAAATACACAAAGTCCACAAGGTAATAGTCTAAATGTGTATAACACCTATAAATTCAAACTCACGGCAGGCTCATATATTCTTTGGCGGTGGCTATTGTGATTGGAGTGCATGCTCCCTCGTTACCCAGCCTTTGATTTCAGCCCCCACCGCCTTGCGTGAGGCGTTGGTAGCAGCGGGATACACCCTACAGGTAGAGCCTCCCCCAGGGCAGAAACTGCACAAAAACGTCATATGCAAAACTATTGTTGTCAAAATCCAACAGCAGATGTTATTTGAAAGTAGCGTGGCTTGGGTATGAGATTGGAGTATGAGTCCATACCTCTTTGGACACTTTTTCATACACGCAAGCCTGCCCCCTATGCCAGTAATGTATGTATTGCACCTCGTTGTTCTAAGTGTGCACATTTATTTTTTAAAATATATAATGTAAAGGATGTGTAATCAAACGTGAGCAAATACACGCAATACAATACAGTAACATGGAACATGGAATTCAGCATGCAAACACATCTTAATAACTAAAACTGAAAACTTAAATGTTGTTGTGGAGAAAACATATTTAATGAAGTCTGTTATGTTTACTCGTTAGCTCGTAAAATAAATGAATGCTATTGGCTTTATCACACTTAAATGACACATTAAATGAATGCTATTTGCTTCCCAGCCAGAAATGAGCAGTGCGTAATTACGCACCAGTAACTATTTATGTTTTTTACGAACAATCTGCTCCATTTAGTTCATGTGAAAAATTTAACCTAATTGTATACTATTTTTAAGATTTAAATTGTATAGTTTGCAGAATTGATATTTGGGGAATGAGCATTCTGTGCGTCCAAAATGTAAGCTTCTTTACGCATACATTTCTTCAGCTTGTTTACGCAGATTTCTTAATTCGGTCTACTATGGATCATAAGGCAGACACGCACTGTAGTTGTTAGGCGTGGATTAGAGTAGAAGACAGATGGCTATCTTACTAAATGTGATGGTTTTGTGTTGTTTCCATCGAATACTGCGAGTCCAAATCGTTTCGTGTTGGCTTGGGGGCGTACCCGTGACGCACGTTAACCAACGCCACGGACCTGCATATATACCGCAGCTCTTGGACGTTAGCGACACATCTTCACCAACTTCGGTTTTAGATACTTCTCTGGCACAAAGACGACGCTGAAACTGTCTCCAAACATGACCTGTGAAGCTCTCCAGTCTTTTTCTCCAAGGCTAACTGTGGCCAAAAGAAAAGAAGCTCTTGAGCTCAGAAAGGTAAGCAATGTCACTGCATTTTGCTTTATTATTCTAAACATTGTCTCTGATAATTTAAACTTAATGTAATGAATGAATGCTAAATATGATGTGTTCTTTTCAGACAATGAAACCTTTAATGGAAAAAAGAAGGCGCGCCCGTATCAACGACAGCCTGAGCCATTTGAAAAACCTCATCCTTCCCCTCACAGGCAGAGATGTAAGTTATTATATCCATTTTAATACATGCAGAAAACAGTTTTCAGATACATTCAAGTCAAGATGTATAAGGTTCATGTGTTTAACATTTGCTTTGTATTATTTTCTCCAGAAGACTCGCTACTCCAAGCTGGAGAAAGCAGACATCCTGGAGATGACTGTGAGGTTCCTCAGCGACATTCCCCCAGTTAACACACAAAGTGAGTTATGGTTCTGCTTGTTTAAAACTTTTATTAACATATTTAAATCCAGTGGACTATTGTCGTTTGGAACAACGAAACTAACATATCGTTTTTCTTTCAGATTCCGCAGACAGTTACAAGGACGGCTTCAAAGCCTGCCTCCAGCGCGTCTCCACTATGCTTCCCAAAACGAGTCTGGATCAAGACGCGTGTCAGCGGGTGAACGAATTCGTCCAGCAGTCCATGTCCGCCGCAGTCACTCCAGCCTGCCTGAGCTGCTGCGCTCAGAGCTCCAGGACTCTTCCTCAGATCCAACAGAGACTCCAGAGTCTCAAATCCAGCTTCAGCTCCAGAATGGAGAGCCAGTCCCGTAGCAGCAGCAGCAGCGGCGGCGGCGCAGTGGCTCCCAGCCGAGCGCAGTCAGCACCACAAGCTGTCAGCGCCGCCATGTGGAGACCTTGGTAGATTTCTTAAATCGAAGGAGCCGGGTCTCCCAAAACCCTGTAAAAAGACTGTAAAGTGAGATAGCATCACTTGTAAATACGCACAGTGATTCACAGCCTCGCTACCGTTGATGAAAAGCCAGAATTCATCGTTAAACCGTATTGGTTGAGTATTATATACTTACGTTTTGCGCACGAGTCTATTGTCCAGTATAAGTTGACAAGTTTAGGCAGTCGTATGTTTTTAAATCTGCATGTATGTATCCGGTAAATATTTAGTCCTCTTCGCGGACTAAGTGATTAAGGGCCATTGAAACAGCCCTGTAAGACCCAAAGGGTCAGTTTATATGAATTTGCACTATATAGACTTCAGTGTTTTGAGTCTGTGCAGATGAACTATAGTAGACATATTATGTGTCATTGAAAGTATCTCTCTCGGGATGTTATATTTTTGCTATTTACAGCAAACGTTGTATATATGTTATATAAACATAAATAAAACTACGATGTCGTGGTAAGATATGGTGTTGTGTTTTGATTATAATTTTGTCTTTTGTTCCATGTGCGTAAATATGGATCGTTAACGCACAGCCATTAACGGTTATATGATGATCATTCATAGAAAAATAGAATTACAACGTTTTGAAGTTGGCGCACTTCACACACAAGGATAAAGTGAATGTTGTATTGGGTTAGAATTATAGGGGCAGAACAAACTACACAGCAAAGCGCACACGCAAACTACTGTGCTGAGGTGCATTTTATTGAAAAGCATCAGGAAATGTCCTTTTTTTTTAGGCTTTATCGTGGAAACCAAAGCGTCTCCAGACTTTGAGCTGGCCCTTGGTTCAGCAAACATGTCGCAATGTTTCACATATGGAACCACCTCTCCGTTTAATGAACAAAGGCCTGGCTGAGACATCTGTCATGCAGTGTTCAAGTGAATAAAAACCGTTAGCCGGTGTGACTCCGGGATGGATGGATGTTGGTGAAACGCGCTCTGCTCCCGCGTCGACTATGCGGTCTGTACCGCCCCCTACGACGGTTTTAGGTATTGATCTGGTTATGGTTTCTATTTCCGTTGCACAATTTCCAACGTAGCTCTTTGAAATGCACCAGTCACAATGCCAAGTGGCTGTCGTGTTGTCTACGTCGTATTTTAATGAACAATTGAGCAACATAACACCTGCTCTTTGCATTTCTGTGAAGTCGGAGTCGTTTCCCTACAGATGAGTCATTTCTCAAGGAGACCAGACAGAGAAGCCGGATAGGGGAGTGATTTCACTTCACATCACACAGGACTCCTGCTGCAACACGAGACCACCAAGCCCCGAGAGCCCATCGTCGTCATGTCGGTACCGCCGGCACGCGAGACAGCATCCCCCCTTCAATTATGCAGGTAGGACGTTTGATACTACACAATGACACACGTGCGAGCAACCTTCAAATGCTAATAACGTGCTGTCGACCGACAACTAGCGAGAGGAGCGCAGCTACCGGCGTCGCTGCGTCGCTCCTCACGGGATGATAGCCCAGATAATCCTCTTATTGTCCGGTTCTATTACTCGGTACACTAGGCTACTGTGTTCTGCCGGAGGTCGACGGCGTCCTATCTTAGCTGGTTTATGACAGATCAAACGGCGTGTTTTCAGGTTGCTTAGCTTGTGGGTTTTCCGGGTAGAGGTGCAGACCATTTATGTCGTATGTGATGACCTCACATAGCAGTTAGCATCGTTTTGGCACGCGCTAAAACTACCAAGGACATATTAAGGTCGCCGTCTTTTAACCAAAAGTCAAATAAAAGTTTGATTCTATAGCGTAGGCTTGAGCAAAATTGCTCACTGTAAATAGTTTGTCTGGAGTGTGGCGTGAAATCGCGTGCCTGATTGATTATTTATCAAGATAATAAACAGGAAGTACACTACAAACAAACTGTCGGCTGTGCGTAAATACAGCGGTAAGGACTGCTACCTATTAAAATACCTTTGCAGTGAATCGGCTTCATTTCCCAGCAGCATGCAGAGTTTGTTGTAGTCCACTTGTACTCGCCTGTAGGCGGAGCCTTAGAGCTCTGTCACAGTACCAAAGCCATGTCTGCACTTAGCTGCTTCAAAAATCCCCGTCAATTCAGGTGTAAATAACTCTTCAATGACAGTTTTCGTGTTGTCATAGTCTGTCTTGTCAGTTGCATTCATTGAAAGCCTCGTTTATGTAGCTACTATGCCACATGTTGACACAGTCAATCAACTGCTTTGTATTTTCAAGAGAAGAGGAACTTATGACACCATCACTCCATGCAGTGGTTTGGTGGTTGTGAAAGCAGAGTCTTCAGCCGATACTATTACACATAGATTCTACTGTTGAGTCAGTTATCATATTTTGCACAGTTTTCTGAACATATTAGACTGTTCAACCCAAATAAAAGAATCCCTACACTTGCCACAATAACCTTTACCTTCTGTTCAGACAGTTTGGACAGTTACATGCCGGCCTGTATGCAAATATAACCTGTTAGTCAGCTAGTTTGGACAAACACGCTTTTGTCAGACTGCGGCAATTCCCCTGACTCACAATTCATTGTGTTTCGTCGCAGCAATGCTGATTCTATACTTGTCTGATGTCAAAATGTTAAAGGGTGGGCCTTACTTCTATTTTTTCCACTGTCGATGGAACGAGTTACAATGCAGAAAAAAAACATTACAACATTAGCCTCGCAAAATAGGTAGCCATTTTTTTAACAGTGTTAAAATCTCTTGAAAAACGTATACCTGGACATTTGTGTGCAAGTCGAAATCATTTGGGGCCAGGTCATTGCTCTGTTGAGACACTTTCTTCACTACAACTCTCTGTGGTAAAATGCCTCTACCTCTCCAGGAAAAACAAGTCCATCCTGTCTTCTCTTTTTAAGAGGAACTTCACGTTGACAGAGTCAAATGTGCTTTGACTTCTTCTTCTGTTGTCATATCAGCTCTTCCTGGGCTGCAAACTTGAATGTTGTCCCTCAAATCTACCTCTCTCTATATGTATTTTTCATTGGGTGTGATAAACCGTACAGGCTCACTGAACTATACATAGACATAATGGATCATCTGATTCATCATCACTAGTCTTACAGTACATTTGGAAACATTTGGACCTAACCTTATCTTTGATTTACTAGTACTAGACTAAAAGGTTCTTGACCGTGACCTGGCCTCTTCCTTGTTTACTATAGTTGCTACTTAACTCTTTTCTGCTCACATTGGATCACTGGAATATGGCTGGGGCCGTGACACTGCCACTAGCTTACTGTCGCTTGCTTACTAATGTGGTAGTTTAGGTTTAAACTTATGCTCCTATTGCTTGCAAGTTGCTTTGCATGAGAGCATCAGCTAAACGTTTTTCCTCAGGCCATTTTAAGTTTGTGTATAATACAGTCATTGTGTCATTGAGTGTTTGACGAATACCTGTCTTACCTGGTGATGTAAGATTGCCTGGCTTCAATGCAGTGTGATCCTGTAAATGATGCAGAACCCCCGTCCACCCAAGTCACATCTTTTTGCTTTGCTGTGTTCTTGCCGATGGGACTTGGGACAGAAATGATGCCAAGATACGCTTTTCTGAAGCTGTTTTGCAGTGTTCGCCACTATTCTACTCGCCACAGGTAAACGTTAGGTGTTCTGTGTTTGCCTCAGCAAGCAGTGAGAAGATTTTGATTTTATTCATGCACTTGTGCATGGCAGCAGTAGTATGCCATTCACTTGTTTGTAAACTTTATTTGAATGGTGTAGCTTGTCCATTCAAATAAAGTTTTCTACATTTCTACATCATTCGTAGAATACATGTGAGAAATACAGACACAATTTGGGTGTACTGTTACAATTTCAAAACCAATATGTATAGGTATACCTGTATAGAGGATCTGTATGTTCTAGATATGTAATATTCATATACATTTACGCTGCTTTATCTACCCAGACAAGACCTCATACCTCAGTGATGGATTATTTTTAGGTTGTACATTACATACAATATTAGGAATTGTTGACACAGGGCTCCTGTGAGATTCAACATCGTTACTGTAAAGGGTTATTGTGTTCCACTGTATGTAATAGAAGTGATCACCATTCTGAAAGGGACTGTATATGTGAACAAGATTAAAGGGCAGAGGGACTTCTAGACTAGTAAGCTTTCAATCCTGGCAGAGACTTTCACCTTTAAATCAGTTCACCGTTCAGCGGCACGGTTTGTTCTTTCCGTTCATGTTCTTTAAAAGCATTATCAGTGGCTTTAGGTGTGGCTGTGTCTGTGCCCCTGTTAGCTTGTTTGTTTGTCTTCAAGTGGGACATTTCTAAAACCTATAACTAGATTTACATTGAGGACAGGTCTTGTTGCACTTAACTAAAAAACATTTTTGATTGTGATCTTGGTCCAGTACTGCTGTTCTAATTCAGGATTTCCGAGCTATTGTTAAAGAAGAATCTGAGACGGGTTTTCATTAATTTAGCAGTTGGGCAACACAGTTACTAAAGAAAACTTACATTCCAACGAAACGGAAACACATTTTAAATTCTTATCATGGGCAGAACATTTATGACTCCGCCTGTCAGCTGTGGCACACAAACCCAGGTGTGATAATGGCAGATTTTCTTGGTCATCCGTGATCTATCTGTGTATCAGTGGGTGTGTCCAGATCCAGTTTGACCACTAAGGCGGGGTCAATGTTAACACATGCATTGACATCACTCGCCACAACCACGTCAGTGCCTGGAATCTCTGAGGATGTGAATGTAGAGATCGTAAAAAAGGGAAGTGGGCCAGAGAGTCGGACTGAGAGTCTGGCAGTGCACAGATGCGCTGCTTTAGGCCTTGGAGCGGCAATGCAGCCGATGGAGTGGCAGCCATGGTACAGAAATGCCAAGCCAGTCAAAGTCAGCAAGTCCGCAGAGATGTCAGGGAAGGTGTGGAGGCAGGAGCTCAGCAGCATTGTCAACTCAGCAGGTAGTTCATTTCTGACTAACACACACACACACACACACACAATGATGCTGACTATACGGGATACTATGTCTGGTTTAAAAATTATTATTTAATATATAATAAAATTTATTGTATAGTATTTTAAAAAAATCTATTTCACACTAAATGCTACCTTTGTTAAACTTTTTAATTGTTGTTCTGACTGTCAGAGAAGCGTTGACTGAACTCTGGTCAGTTTTGAGGCTGTAACTTGCTCTGCTGTTGAGTAGATTGCGATATATTATGAATAGTTTACAGCACTTTTGCTTCATATAATGAATATTAATATTAGACTGTAACTTCATTAAATACTACAGCCTCATATCTGATGTCTCTCTACCTTTCACAATAATTGTCTTCATCACAGGAGTCATTTGATAGCGATCAGTCATCGCTACCAAAAGTAAACATTCACCTGTGGATTGCTAATCTTGTCAAGATGTGGACCTCCTGGCTTCGTTTTTGGAGCCCACCTTTGTCAAGCTTTTTATCTGATTCCTTTGATTAGTCAGATCTCAGTGCAACGGTGCATACCTGGTTTGGTTGGAGTTTGTAAGCAGCTTAGATTGTAACCGGTTGAACTAGTTTAGCCCACATACTGAAGAATTGGAAACAGCTGAAGTACATGACAGCATGCTGAACTGTCAGCGATAATGATACTGTATCTAGTCATCAGCTAGACATGAAGGCTGGAGTCAAATACTCCAACAAAAATATGTTTTGCTCAATAGAAGTCCTCAACTCATGAGTAGAAGCACATCACAGCAGATATGTCCCCAGATAGTCCTCTTTTTTCAACAAACGAAATATCAGCCAGATTCAACTGAATATATCAAAAACTAGTTATGTCAGGTGATTGAAATGCTCTTAGTAGCTACTCAGTGACTTACTGTAACTGAAAACACACAGTTTAGGCACATTTCATGTTGTTGGCTCAGGCATGTATCAAAAAAATTACGAAGAGACTGAAATCATGGATCAACAATGTTACAATCTATTAAAGCCTCCCGTTCTTAAAAAAAATAATGTGAAAGGTTAATTTTAATATTTACTGATGAATAGTATTTTATTTTCTAACAAGATGCCAGGAAGTCTTCTAACAAGATGCTAAAAACAGATGTTGTAGTCCTAAGATCAGATCCTCAGTCTTGCTAACTAGTCTTCTCTTTACTGCAGGATCATGCGGCCGGACGACGCCAACATTGTGGGCAACGTTCACGGCGGCATTATCCTCAAGATGATCGAGGAAGCCGGATGCATCGTCGGCACGCGACACTGCAACGCACAGAGCGGGGTAAGAGACAACTATATTCAGACTATACCCATAGTGTTTTACTGCACTGTGGGTAAATATATATAAGACTTCTCTCCGTAAGTTGTTATCAGGTTAATTTCTTTAATTGAATTTATTTTGGGGAAGAAAAAAAACGGCGGAAACCTTAGGGAGAGCAACAGAGGAGGGATCATTACTTACATGAACCACTTCATTTATAAATATGGAAATGGGAAAAAAAATGAAAATTAGGCAAGTAAAGAACCTTGAAGGAAAAAATGGTTTCTTTGTGTTGTTTCTCTCTCCAGCATGTGATGATTCATTGTTGTGTTTAAAGGCGGTTAGAGATACAAAATCTCTTAGAACCACAGTTTTAGAAATCATAAAATATTTATTAAGACGGTCTGTCCATCATTAAAATAATAGTTGGTTTATTTAATTTGAAAAAGTAGTTCACTGTCTAAATCATGACAAAATTCCACATAGTTCACCTTGTATAGTAACAGTATGTAACAGCTTTTAAATCTCTTGTGTCCAAACTGCACGGCTGCATTAATGTTACCGTTATTCAGTATTGCCTCACTCAGGTCGTCTTGGTTTGACTTTTCACCTGGTGAACTTTAACTGGCTTCACCTGCGACAACAATGCGATCGTATCCTGCCGATGTCATGATACGTTTCACTGTTCAGATAAGATATTAAGACAAACACAACATTTATGGACACAACAAACATTTACACATGGGACTGTTGTCATAAAGAATAGCAGTGTCTTCTTTAAATCATCGAAAAGTCCAAATTAAAGTCAAAAATGACTTTCAGCTTTCAAGCTAACTCCTTTAATCTATAATACATTGAACACCATCTACAAATGCAAAAGCATCTCGAGTGTTTTTATATGTAATTCCATTTCTATGCTTCATGATAAGTGGTTATTTCATGTTATATGAAGGGTCAGCAGGATTTTGTCCTGGTGTCTGCGATTCATTGATTTTGAAATATTTGAGATTCACAATAAAGGACAAATAACTACTTACCTTGTGAACAGTTTTGAACAGTTGCTCCTTGAAGTTACCCTTCACATAAAACCACTCAGTGTGAACCAGGAAGATAAAGAATTACAGACGAAGAAGTCATCATAATCAATTGTGTCACCTGTTTCAATAAGGAAGTATCTTCCGTCATGTCTAGGCTTAAGTTTCCTGTGTCCATGCCCATCTTCCTACACTAATTACATTTTTCTTTTTGTATTTATCTTTTATAGACATCTCGGTACCTTTAACTTGTCTGATTAGCGTCTCTGTGGAGCATGTTTTCTTTAATCTTGTGAACGTATGTAAGATATATTTGTATAGGTTTTAGGTTTGCTGTTTCTCCTCTCTAGGACCGCTGCATGGCAGCTCTGGTTCGGGTGGAGAAAACGGAGTTCCTGTTCCCCATGTTTATTGGCGAGGTTGCCCACGTCACCGCTGAGATCACTTACACCTCTAAGCACTCACTGGAGGTGCAGGTCAAAGTCATAGCTGAAAACATAATGACAGGTGACTTGCTAGCATTTGATACTTTTTCAACAGGCATTTAACTGTTTGATAATATGTTTCAATTAGTAATAAACTGAAATTTCATTATAGGCATGCTATTGAAATCTTGCCTTTTGTTTATAGAAGTAATATTAGTAATGCTGTTACAGCTCTGGGAACAATATATAGAATTTAAAGAATGTAGTTTGAACCTGCTGCCTCACCGCGTTCACCTTTAGCCTCATTCTTATCGCGTCAGAGGAGAAGAAAGAATGACAGACATTCAGTTATTTTTACTTAAATTAAGTAAAGCAACTGTGAATGTAATAATTCATTTCCATCACAATTTCTTTGTATTTTTGGTCTTTTTTGTTTATTTATTTGAAACATCTCAAGTCCAAGTTGTGGAAATGCTGGAGCCTTGCACCGAGTCTGATTAGGTCAAAAGGAAGGAAAAAAAAAAACAATCTCTCTGTGATATTCTGCTATTTCACCAGTAGAGGGCAGCACACAATAAGTAACACAACCCAGAGAAGCATGAAAGATGAAACACTGCTTCCATGAGCTATGAGCTGTGACAGCGGAATAGAAACTAACAGCCATGTTGATTTCTAGTTTTAGAATGTTTGCCGAGCGATGCAGTCTGTAATTCTTGTCTATTATTAAGATATGTGCACATTTAATACATGCTATGTACACATGAGAGCATGTGCACACATACTGTATATGTACGCAGACTTACACACACACTGGCCAGAGTCCCTTGAGTAAAGACGCAGGGTGGATCACATTGAGCTGACCTAGCGGTGTCTCTGAAATGCCAGTGGCAACAGTGATGCACAGACTGTCGGCAGAACCTCATGTAATGCGCTGACCATACTGTAACTGCTTGAGTTCATGTGAAAGTGGCCGAGATGATGATTTCTACATCGTTATTACACGTACAGACACACATGCACAGTATATCACGGTAATGCTGGTGCGAATGAGTTTCAGCAGCATTGGGGGAGTTTTTCTTGATATTTTGCAATGGGAAGCCCACTTGTGTGTGTTTTGAATGAATTGGTAGTTAGAAGTTAGTATGCCATTAGAGCAACCCGTCCATCCTCAAGACAGTAAGAGACAGAGAAGGAGACGGAGTGAGTGAGACACACAGACAGAAGCAGACAGACATATTGAGGACTAAACAGATAGCCCAGGGAATGAAAGTAGAAAGAGAGTGAGAGTAGGAAAGAGATAGGCGGAGGTGTGAGAAACAAAAGAAGTATCCCCTAGACAGCCGTTGCCCTAGCAACAGGCTTGTACTGGTTGGTTGGCTGGTTGCTGGGCTGGAAGCTGGTAGGCGGAGGCACAGATATGAGATGACAGGTGGACATACATACAGGCATCGGCACGGACAGCCTGCTACATAGCCTGCTACATCGGGAAGGACCCCGAAAAGGGAAGATCAGGAAGAGCTTCTTTTGATCCGTGTTACAGGATTTGTGATTCAGTGCAGTGAGCGAGGCTTTATTCCTTCATTCTTTATTTATTCATATATTATTCATCCAAGCTTCAGCTTGTGCTGAGAGCAGGCGTGGAGGTGAGTTCCTCTGGGACACTTTTTTGTTGAGCTCGCTGGAGGCTGCATGGACCAAACACATCTGTCCATATATATATATATATATATATATATATATATATATATATAGAGAGAGAGAAAGTCTGCTGTCATCCTGATAATGGCATCATGTGTCAGTCTAACAAAACAAAAAGTACAACAAATATCACACATCTATCCCAATCTAGGAATATTTATTATAATACCAGTGCACATAAATAATATTTTCCAGTACTGTCGAGTGAGCAGACAATGTCCTCAAATGAGAAATACAAGCAGCTTCTACATTATAAGAAGAGTCAGCGGAGAGGCTGCGGCCTGGTGGTCTATTGGGTCAAGGCTATAGGATGTAGGTCATATACGGGTGTGTGCATTTGAGTTGACACAGCTGCTATCCATATGAAAGTATGAATGTCCGTATGTTTTTATAAATGAGATCTTATTCCGACCTCAGAGGAGTTGTCTGTTCTTCTATCAATAACTGAGAGAGAGGTTACGTTATATGTGCGTGTTACTCTTTGGGCCTTGCGTTTAGATGCATCATTTTGCGAATGTGTGTTTGCACGTGTGCATGTGTGACACAGTATGTTTATGCATAGTGGGTGACTCTGTACTTACATGTGCGTGCGTGCGTGCGTGCGTGCGGGATTTAATCAGTGTTTGGCCCTTTTAAAAAGGTTCCTGCGGGGCCGAGGGGGAAGAGAAGATAACGGGAGCAGACATTATTTGCTTCTGTCATGTCGGCTTAGCGTCAGGCCTCACACACTGTGGCCCAGTCCGACACGGACGCCAAGTGACTGTACCTGCACACATGCTCCGACACGACATGCGCACGGACCCGACACATTCTGACAGACACATGCGGTTGTGACCTGCGTGCATACAGAGCCTGATATGCACATGCTGACACATTCTGCACAGAAAAAGTCACACACCTAAATGTCTACACACGCACACACTTCCCTTCTTTCAAAAATAAGTTTCACTCTGAGGCAGGACTGGCAGGGTTTCACATGTTCCTGGCTAGATCTTTTCCCAGGCAAAAGATTGCTGGATGGCTTGGACAGGAACACAAAAGAAGACATTTTACTGTTTGGTTGCAGACTTGTTTATATTTATATTTGTATGCACCTTTGTGCAGCCATGCATGTTATTGCAATTTTGTGTAAACATGAATGCTCATGCTTCTTTTATTCTGCAACACTGTGGATTACGCTCTGTGTCCATGCATCTTTTGTATTTTTGCGTTCATGTTTATTTCGTGTGTGTGTGTGTGTGTGTGTGTGTGTGTGTGTGTGTGTGTGTGTTGGGAAAGGAGGCAAGCACCCAGGTTCCACAGTCAGTCAGGCAACATCTCGTCAGGCAGGCCTCAGTCACGGCCCCCAAGGGGGAGGCTGCCTACTGTGGGCACGAGCCGTGATGATTGTCCCCGCTGGGGGGATTGCACATGCGCACTAACATACACATAGACCCACGCACATCAGCACACACAGATTTGCATGCACTCGTGTATGTACAAAGATGCATGAAAATACACATGCATATCTCGGAAACTGCACACAATCACAGACAGACAGACAGACGCAGATCCATGTTAGAAAACCGCATGTGCACAAGCACACACACACACACACATCAGGCTTTTGCATTCACCAGATCTGCAGATGTGAAAATGCCAGACAAAGAAAAAACACAGAACATTCATTCAACACTCACACGTGTTTGCACACAGCCATCTTTGGAACAAACATGCATGTATAGAAAATTCCTGCAGAGGTAATAATGCTTGTATTGGATGTATACAGTGGAGGCATACATTTGCATAAACCCAGCATACACAGATTGTGCCCCCTCAACACACACACACACACATGAATAGACAGAGTTGAGAGCAATGCAATGTGAGTTGAGGCTTGAAATAAGCATGACAGTTCCTGCCATGATCCTGCACATGCTGAAAGAATACGTGAACATACACACACAATATTTTGAAATATATTTAGGTTTATATTCAGCTCTGCAGCTCATTGAACAACATTTGTCATACTTGTCTGTATTATTTAATTATCCAGTCATGATCACCCACAGCAGGAGAAAATCTATCAAATAAATATAACATTTGTCAGCACAATCATGGGGATGAAGCACTAAGAACGATCCTCACTGCACTGTCTCTGAGCCTGGAACGTGGTGTTCAGGAAGGAGAAAAGAAAACAAGGGTTTTCTGATAGTGGGCAAGAGTCAAGGGTGAGAGCGGAGGGTGAACGAGTAAACCAGAGTGATAAATCAAGTGAAACTGTTGGAGGTGAGAGAGATGGATGAGGGCAAAGGGGCTGTAAAGGGAAAGAGGAAAAAGGAGGAGGAAAAGAGCAACAAAATGAGAAATTAAAGATGTTCGATCAGACTGGAATTCGGGACTGTTCAAAGCTCTGAAAATGTGCATTTTGGAAACTTCAAAAATGGTATGAAGTAGTGATTGACGCCTTAAACTTAGATTAAAGTGGATTGGATGATGCATAAGTAGTGCTGGAGGGATGTTTCGCCCCCTTAAGCTCCCATGTGAACACTCAAATCAGGACCCAAAAATGCTCTAATTTATAATTAAATATGACTGAGCAAAGCATTTAGGAATTCTGCTGCCTGCCAGACAGTTAAAAAAAGCCCCATATGTCTAAGGCTGCTCGAGACCAGCTACTGCTGCTGTTTGTTTTGTAGTTAAGAACCCAATTTGCTGGATTTCTGTCCCATAATGAGTTGAAAGTTTTAGGATAAACACACTGACAATCCCATTAGTATGATTTGTTTTTTTGATGCAGACTGCCAGACTCTGTGATTTCCATTATTGCTACGGTTCCGTCAGTATGTTTTATTACTGCTTTGTGTTTGCTGACATTATACTCCTGTAAAATCACAATCAGCCAAGTTATGCTACTTGGATTGTCTCCTCTGTAATATCCTGCCACTCGCAGGCAGTTCTTGCACATTAATGCACTCAGTGCACTGCTGCACCAACACATCATCAATTGAAAAAGAAATCGTACCGCCACTGCCAGGTGCCATTTGTCTCAGCTGTCATCATCGCTGCCAGAGTGCCCTTTTACATTCATTGTTCTAAAGCTGCCACCAGATGAACTTGGAAAAACCACGCACAAAGTCGCTGCGCTATGTTTATTGAGCATTGTGCCACAGAGTGTGGAAATTTGAGTGAGCAGATTTGTGGAGCTTGTGTGCGGAGTGGATGCAGCCAAAACCTTCCAATTCACTAATTCATTAATGCTAACTAAGTAAGCCAGCTGTCCCTCCTGCTAGTCGAAACCTCTCCTTTCGTGACTGAAATCAGTTCACCGTAATCGCATAGAAAACAACAGATACAAAAAACCGATTTCTCAGTGTTGACCGAATGATTTTACAGCCATTTTACAATACAAACAAGATAAATATGTCGTAGGAAAGCCATGTTATGACTGATGTCTCTTGAACTTGCTTTTCCCTTAATAATGTGCATGATACTGCACTCATGATGAGGAATAATCCGTGTTGTTTTAGTAGACTCACTGTGAAGGTAATAAGCGTGCAGCCCAGTTAATAGCATGGTCAAACATTGACATTGTCTTCATCTGATGCAGAGGGATTTAAAATTCAAAGCCGGTTCCCTGATTACATTCTGGCCAAACAGGTCGTCAGTCGGACTGGGAATGGTTCATTGCATTGGCTCACCCTCCACCCTCCGTCTCTCTCTCTCACTCCTCCTCTTCCTCCCTCCATCCTAAACACAGTTCACTTAAAAGGTCCAGCTGGAGCTAATAATAGACTGGAGTCACTCAGTCTTGGTAGAGTCAAGGATATGTAAATATGCCTTTCTCCCGTGGGCTATACTTCCTGGTTGCAGGCAAGCGTGGGAGCCAATAAGAGGAGAGAAGCGCGGTCGGCATGGCAACGCGGCCCGGCTGTCTGCACAGTTTTAAATCAGGTGTAAAATGCAAATGTTATTCCCCAAGAGTAGTCTGCCACGAGCCTCGGCTCCCACTTTCTTCTCTTAACTTCACATTTCCTATCGCAAAGTCTCCGTCTGCGCACCGTTTATCAAAGGGCAAACGGTAACATCACAGTAACGTCACAGTTCTTCCACCGAGTACATCAAACGCTGCAGCCACAAGTAATAGCCTTTAACACTACACAACAGCGATTTCATCTGAACCTGCCTGTCTTTGATCTGTGTACCCCCCCTGTGTGTCATAACAACACAGCCTCAAAATAGCCTCTCTCTCTCTGTCTCTCTCTCT